CTACAGCAGGAAAATAATCCTGCAGCAATAGGAAATGTTAATTGTTATGTGGATTCTAATGAAGGGACATTTTTGTAGGGGTTTATATTTTTTGTAAGGGAAAAGTCTGAAAAAAAGTATTCAGAAGCCTTTTTAAACCTTAAATACACTACAAGTTTTAAATTTCCTGCATTGCAGGAAAGTTCTCCTGCCATAGCGTGATCAAATTAAGATCCTACACCTGTAGAGAATAGGGTGTGATTCAAGATTGGCTTTATTGTAGTAATAATATAACGATCATTATCAGCCTGTAAACATTCGTGCCGCAACACAAAGACATTCCAACAGCTTAGCGATGACTTTACAGCGACAAAATGTAGCCAACGTCTACAGAACGTTGTTCCATAGCAGTTGGCTGTACACGCACGTGGCGACCAGTGTGCTCGGTCGTGTTGTGATCTCGTGGGAATGCACGTGTGTGTGTGTGTGTGTTTCTCTTGGCACTCTACGCGCTCAGAAAGAGACAGAGGCTGCATGTGAACATAACGTTACGAAAAGTAACCAAAATCAGGTGAAGGCTCAGTCAGGAAAGTGTGTGTGAGAGCAAGGGCTACACAATCAAAACCAGGTCATCTGTTTTCTGGTCTAGATTCATTCTGGAAGGTTCTTGTCATTTAGTAGAATAAAATACTACCATCTCTCACTCCCTTTGTGTCTCTCGCTCTCTCTCGGCTGGATGTCCTTGGTCAACTGGCAAACCTATGTTTTCAGTGTGCAGTAGGTTCTTGGAGACATAGATCCATAATGAGGAGGCCGTCCGTGAAAGCCAACCCAGGGGCTTGAATCGCAGCCTGTGCCCCTGGACCACCTCAGACCTCCATAGAACCACGACAGGAGGTTGGAGAGAGAAGGGGGGCGCTGCTTTTAACTCAAGCCCCTCACCTCAAACCCTGGGTGGATGCAGACAGCGTAGAAGGCAGAAGTGACAGTAAAATAGGAATAAAATAAATAAATATATATTTTTTGTTGTTGTTCAAAGGCAGTCAGTTGAGATCAGAGTGAGGATACTACGTCTGACCAGTCGCATACAGCTGTCCCATAAAAGTAGTGCACTACATAGGGAATAGGGTACAATGTGAGAGCAGGAAGCAGGCAGATAATGATAAGGAGCAGTGGAGGCTGGTGAGGGGGGAGGACGGCTCATAATAATGGCCGGAACGGAGCAAATGGAACGGCATCAAACACCTGGAAACCAATGTCTTTGGTACCATTCCACTCCTTCCGCTCCAGTCATTACCGCAAGCCCGTTCTCTCCAATTAAGGTGCCACCAGCCTCCATTTTGTTTTGCTGTGCTGGGTCGTTGGCTGTAGAGGTGACTGTGAACACACACACAAGTGCAGGCGCGTAGGCAAACACACCCACACCCACAGGGCGTTTTTGTCCACGATTTATAGAAGAACTGGTTCATGATGGCACTCAGACGTTTGGATTCTCGGTGTCCATGTTTATCCATATAGCATGTTGACCTGCTTCTGAGTGTTAAATTCAGTTGAAACTACATTAATACAATGTTCCCACTAGTCCTCTCCTTCAGTTGAAGGAGAATAGAATGTTCCCTCTAGTCCTCTCCTTCAGTTGAAGGAGAATATAATGTTCCCTCTAGTCCTCTCCTTCAGTTGAAGGAGAATATAATGTTCCCTCTAGTCCTTTCCTTCAGTTGAAGGAGAATAGAATGTTCCCTGTAGTCCTCTCTTTCAGTTGAAGGAGAATAGAATGTTCCCTGTAGTCATCTCCTTCAGTTTGAAGGAGAATAGAATGTTCCCTCTAGTCCTCTCCTTCAGTTGAAGGAGAATATAATGTTCCCTGTAGTCCTCTCCTTCAGTTGAAGGAGAATATATGTTCCCTGTAGTCCTCTCCTTCAGTTGAAGGAGAATATAATGTTCCCTCTAGTTCTCTCCTTCAGTTGAAGGAGAATAGAATGTTCCCTCTAGTCCTCTCCTTCAGTTGAAGGAGAATAGAATGTTCCCTGTAGTCCTCTCCTTCAGTTGAAGGAGAATATAATGTTCCCTCTAGTCCTCTCCTTCAGTTGAAGGAGAATAGAATGTTCCCTCTAGTCCTCTCCTTCAGTTGAAGGAGAATAGAATGTTCCCTGTAGTCCTCTCCTTCAGTTGAAGGAGAATAGAATGTTCCCTCTAGTCCTCTCCTTCAGTTGAAGGAGAATAGACTGTTCCCACTAGTCCTCTCCTTCAGTTGAAGGAGAATAGAATGTTCCCACTAGTCCTCTCCTTCAGTTGAAGGAGAATAGAATGTTCCCTCTAGTCCTCTCCTTCAGTTGAAGGAGAATAGAACTCTCCTCCCTCTGTTCCATGGAAGACAAAATAAAAGGAGTGCAGATTCTCTGTTTTGTCTTTCATCTCCAGCATCTTATCTTTTTTCCCCCCTCCTCTCAATCTTCTCTCCTCGGACTTAAAACAGCAGATCCTAAATGGTGGCGTCCAATGTCTGTGCTCGGCCGTCTCTCCTCTTCCCTTATTCCCACGCATCCGTTCTTCTAGGCTTTGTCCCAAATGGCACCCTTGTTCCCTATATAATGGCTAGCCTCTTCGCTCCGGGAGACCGGTAATGTTACACACTGATCTCCCGTACCCCGGAAAACAGATTTACCAGCCCTCTAGTTGACCTATGTAAAATGTGTGAAAAGAAACATTTATATCCAACTTTTCCTGAGTTGACCGAAATCACACCATATCTCCCTAAAAGGTGCTCTGCTGCCATCTGGGATCACGTGGTAATCTATACTGAACTAAAATATTACAGTTCATATAAGGAAATCAGTCAATTGAATCAAATTCATTACGAACTAATCTATGGATTTCACGACTGGGAAAACAGATCTGCATCTGTTGGTCACAGATGCCTTAAACAAAAGGTAGGGGCGTGGATCAGAAAACCAGTCAGTATCTGGTGTTACCGCCATTTGCCTTTCCTTCGCATAGAGTTGATCAGGCTGTTAATTGTGGACTGTGGAATGTTGTCCCACTCCTCTTCAATGGCAGTGTGAAGTTGCTGGATATTGGCGGGAACTGGAACATGCTGTCGTACACGTCGATCCAGAGCATTCCAAACATGCTCAATGGGTGACATGTCTGATGAGTATGCAGGCCATGTAATAACTGGGACTTTTTCAGCTTCCAGGAATTGTGTACAGATCCTTGTGACATGGGGCCGTGCATTATCATGCTGAAACATGAGGTGATGGCGGCGGATGAATGGCATGACAATGGGCCTCAAGATCTCGTCACGGTATCTCTGTGCATTCAAATTGTCATTGATAAAATGCAATTGTGTTCGTTGTCTGTATCTTATGCCTGCCCATACCATAACCCCACCGCCACCATGGGGCACTCTGTTCACAATGTTGACATCCGCAAACCGCTCGCCCACACGACGCCATACACGCTGTCTGCCATCTGCCCAGTACAGTTGAAACCGGAATTCATCCGTGAAGAGCACACTACTCCAGCGTACCAGTGGCCATCGAAGGTGAGCATTTACCCACTGAAGTCGGTTACGACGCCGAACTGCAGTCAGGTCAAGACCCTGGTGAGGACGACGAGCACGCAGATGAGCTTCCCTGATAGTTTGTGCAGAAATTATTCGGTTGTACAAACCCACAGTTTTATCAGCTGTCCGGGTGGCTGGTCTCAGATGATCCCGCAGGTGAAGAAGCCAGATGTGGAGGTCCTGGGCTGATGTGGTTACACGTGGTCTGCGGTTGTGTGGCCGGTTGGACGTACTGCCAAACTTGAGGCATTTGTTTTTGTGGCATTGTGTTGTGGCCTTTTATTGTTCCCAGCACAAGGTGCACCTGTGTAATGATCATGCTGTTTAATCAGCTTATTGATATGCCACACCTGTCAGGTGGATGGATTATCTTGGCAAAGAAGAATTGTTCACTAACAGGGATGTAACCACATTTGTGTACACCATTTGAGAGAAATACGTTGTTTTTTTTTGGCGTATGGAACATTACTGGGATCTTTTATTTCAGCTCATGAAACATGGGACCAACACTTTCCATGTTGCGTTTATATTTTTGTTCAGTGTAGCGTCGGAAAGTTAACATGTAAACGTTTATTTTGACCATAGCTCACACATTGTATAGCGACTGGTATTCCGGATTCTAGATTTGCCTTCGGTGACGGGAAAAGTTTCATGGAAATAGGTCAACCAGAGGTCTGGTAAATATGTTTTCGGGGTACGGGATGTCGCCTTCAGCAACGGGAGGTCTCCCGGAGAGAAGAGGCTATATAGTACTTTTGAGCAGAGCCCTATTAGTGCACTAAATAGGCAATAGGGTGAATCCATCCTTCTATCGAGCCTCCTACAGTATCCTACAGCATCCTTGCATAGATATCTGGAAAACAACATTGTGCAGTCTACTACCCTCCGTTTAAGACTACTCTCTCACTCCAAGCCACACTCATCAAACCTTAATCAGCCTCCTACAAACAGTAGCCATACACTCACTCTCTATATCTATCTCTATCAAACTCAAGCTGTTCTCGTCTGATCTGATCCATCCATCTTCAATCACGAACAGCTCTTCCTCTCTCACAAAAGCGCTATCTGGCTCTTACATTCTCTCTACCCTCATCAATCCCGAAGAGTGCCATATCTATCTTTCTATACTCTCGCTTTCAACTCTAAAGAGTGCGTCTATATCTCTCTCTCTAACATCAAGATCTCTCTACCTAAAGCTGCGACCTCTCATCTCGATCATCTCGCATCTATTCGCTCATCCAAGCTGCCTCCTCTCTACTCTCACTCTCACTATCGCTCGATACTAAGCGCTTCTCTCTCTCTACTCTCTCTCCGCACTCTATCTCTCCTCCCTTCTCCTCTCCTCCCTCGCCCCGTCTTCCTACATCCCTATCTCTCTGTCGCTCCAACCCTCCCTTTCCACTGTCTCTCAGACTATGGCAACCACTCTTCCTCCATTTAATTCCTTTATTTTCTGTTAGTTTATTATTCTGTCCATCACGTCATCTCCACCGTGGCAGCTCTCCTCTCCGTGTACGATTAACACTGGGAAGAAAAAGGCATCGTGATAAGACGGAGGTCTATCCCTCTCTCCCTCCCTCATCCCCTCATCCACCTCTCCTCCTCCCTCCTGTTCTGCTTCCTCATCCCTCTCTCCCTCCACCTCAGCCTCTTCTTCATCCCCCTCTCCTTCCAGCACTCCTCTACTCTCCTCATCATCCTGACCCTGCCGGGACCCTAACCTCAGAAACCCTCCCCCTCCTCCGTCCTCCCCCCGTCCTCCTCCCCCCATACTACGAGAGTGAAATAGACTCGCCGGTCTCGGCCGTGTCCCTAGAGAGAACCCACTACGACTCAACACTAACCTCCCACCTCCTCCTCCCCCAACCCCTACGCCGTTCGCCCTCATCCCAGCCGCGGTGCCGTTCAGCAGTGCTTGATTCCCCGTCGGGGCCCTTAGCCTGGCGGGCAGGCTGGAGCTTGACCTAGTTCTCCGGCACCGGGGACAGCTCTGGAGGAGGTAAGCCGTGGAGAAGGCCACTGGGTGGGCCATGCCGGCTGGGAAGCCCCCCTGGATGGGGTCTGAGCCTGGAGCTCCGGGTGTGGAGGAGGTGGTGGTGTTAGTTCCTCCTGTTCCACTAACTCCTCCATTACTCTCTCTCTCCAAGTCCATGAGAAGAGCTTCGGAATATGAAGGAACCATTTGTTGATTACAGCGAATATGCCACTCCAGCTCAGTCATGTCCACGGTGTTCACCCGCGATATCGCTCTGTAGCTCGACCCGCCGCTGACACTCCTCTCTCCTGTCATTCCTCCGTTTTCCGTCACTCCATCCCTTCCTCCGTCCTCTCGGATCGTCTCCTCTCCGAAGAGCTTCTCCACGTGGTAGTGTACGTACGCCGTGCGGTACTCAGACACGACCCGGAGCGGCCAGGATAGGAGGAACGCTGAGGCTAGCCAGAAGACCCGGTGTCGGGAATACCACGGTTGCCGGGTCTGGTCTGGGAACGCCAGAATATGCTCCTTGAAATCGACGTTCTTTAGGTGCATCCCCTCCCGAGCTTCCATGTAATCGTCCAGACCCTCGTTGTCTCCGAAGAAGCGTGCTCGCTGGGTGAGGTATGCAGCCTCCGCACGGGCGCTGGCGAAACTGAAACCGAGGAACAATTGATTAATATTTTGATTAATTTACTGATTCGATTTATATATAGCGCTTTTACAGTAAAATATTTTTCTTTCTGGATTTTCAACAATACTTTGTAACTGAACATCTAGAATTCCAAATGTGTGTGTATGTGTGTGTGTGTGTGTGTGTGTGTGTGTGTGTGTGTGTGTGTGTGTGTGTGTGTGTGTGTGTGTGTGTGAACCTGAAACACTTGGTGAAGCGTAGCCTGACAGCCGGGTGCTCTTGAAGTCCCTGGAGCAACTTGGAGATATCTTTAACCCCGTGGCGACCGTAGTCGAACTCGGAGCTGGAGGCGTGGGTGTTCACCCTCTCATGGTAGACCTGTGGGTGGGGGGGGTTGTATTGTTTATTGTTTTATAGTAATGCTGTAGCATTTTAATACAGAGTAACTATAAGGACATTTTCTTTTTACAAATAAGGAATTTTTTACTTAGTGGCAATATGTAACATTTTGGACAACCCGACCAAATCCACATAGAAATGTGCGTTATAGATCTGTCATCTACCTGAAAGCAAGTCTAAGAAGCTGTAGATCTGTTCTATGTGCGCTATTTCTATGCTTCCCGTTCTTACGTTTAATTTTTGCGTCTTTTACTTTCGGTTTTGTACACCAGCTTCAAACAGCTGAAAATATAATATTTTTGGTTATGGAAAATATATTTCACAGCAGTTTAGATGGTACAGTGATTCTCTACACTACGCTAGCTTGTTTTGTCACATAAACTGAAATTAGGTAAACTATTAGAGTTTTAGCAACCAGGAAATGATTGATTTCTATATAGTGCAACTTAAAAATGTTAAGCTGAAATTGCAACTGAGTTGCAATATTGTCGTAACATTTTGCCCTCTACTTTTAGGGCCCTGCCTCAAGTTTCCTTCATGCTCACCTGTGTGTGTGTGTGTGTGTGTCCTCACCTGTGTGTGTGTGTGTGTCCTCACCTGTGTGTGTGTGTGTGTGTCCTCACCTGTGTAGTGGTATAAGCGTCTCCGTTGCGATACCTGGTCACCTGTCTGGTCCGTCTGACGTAGTGATAACTGAATGGCACTTCCACCATACAGGGGTGCCTGTTGGAGCGTGTGACCGTTCATACACTGGACACCACGATAGTTACCCAACTCTCTCTTGTTCTTCATCAAAACTGTCCCCCCCAATGGACAGTCATACTGATCTGTGGTTTGCGTGACCAAAATGGCGGTATTGGAGTAACGTCAGCATGTCCACATTCACCTCGGTAGCTAGGAAGCTGAGGCGATTACCAGAACACGTGGAACTGGCTGGCGTTGGAGGTGGGAAGGGGGGGAGGCAACGAGCAGGTCGCGTGCAAGGAGAGGCTTCCACCAGAACGGGGGGGGGTAGCTGGGAGGCCTGGGGACGGAGACGACGGGAACAACGAAGAAGTGACCAGGACTGGGGCGTAGTGGCTAAAGGACATTAGAGCGCCCAAATGAAAGACAGGGAGTGAACGACGAGGAGGCGGAACAACGAAGGAGCAGAACAACGGGAGAAGACAGAAAGGAGAGGAACAACGACAGACAGAACAACGACAGACAGAACAACGACAGACAGAACAAACAGACAGAACAGCGACAGACAGAACAACGACAGACAGAACAACGACAGACAGGGACTCACAATAAGAGTCCCAACCAAAACAGAAGTCAGTTGCATACCTCTGCCGTCTCTGCGTGAGCCAAAATGGCGGTCTTGGAGTAACAGTACCAGCATTCCACCAGATACACCATGTACAGCATAGATAGGAAGGCTAGAGGGATATACACAGAACCACTGGAACATGGGCTGTTAGGAGGGGGGGGGGGGGGGGGGGGGAGGGGGGGAGGGGGGGGGAGGGGGGGGGGGAGGGGGGAGGGGGAGGGAGGAGGAGGGGGGGAAGAGAGAAGAGGGGGGAGGGGGGGGGGGGAGGGGAGGGGGGAGGGAGAGGAGGGGAGGGGAGGGGGGGGAGGGGGGGGAGGGGAGGGGAGGGGGGGAGGGGGGGAGGGGAGAGGAGGAAGAGAGAGGATGGGGGAAAGAGAGAGGATGGGGGAGGGGGAGGAGAGAAGAGGAGGGAGAGGAGGGAGAGACAGAGGAGAGGGAGGAGGGAGAGGGAGGAGGGGGGGGGAGAGAGGGAGAGAGGGGGGAGGAGAGAGCGGGAGGGAGAGAGGGAGGGGAGAGGGAGGGAGAGAGAGGAGGGGGAGGAGGGAGAGAGGGGAGGGGGGAGGAGGGAGAGAGGGGGAGGGGGGAGGAGGGAGAGAGGGGAGGGGGGGGGAGGAGGGAGAGAGGGGAGGAGGGGAGGGGGGGGAGGAGAGAGAGAGGGAGGGGGGAGGGAGAGAGGGGAGAGAGGAGGGGGGGAAAGATAGGAGAGAGGAGGGGGGGGAAGATAGGAGAGAGGGAGGGGGGGGGAGAGGATGGGGGGGAGATAGGGGGGGGGGGGGAGATGATGGGGGGAGAGAGGAGGGGGGGGGGGAGGAGGGGGGAGAGAGGAGGAGAAGAGAGAGAAAGGTGATGTTCATACAAACACAGTCAAACTTTATTTAAACACTTGGGTTAGGGATGTACAGATAGCCACTGGAACACAGGCTGGCAGGGAGGGAGATACAAACACAGTCAAACTTTGCATTTAACCTTATTTAAAGTGCATGTAACCTTATTTAAAGTGCATGTAACCTTATTTAAAGTGCATGTAACCTTATTTAAAGTGCATTAACTTATTAAGTGATGAACCTTATTAATGCATTATATTTAAAGTGCATGTAACCTTATTTAAAGTGCATGTAACCTTATTTTAAAATGATGTAACCTATTTAAAGGCATGTAACCTTATTTAAAGTGCATGTAACCTTATTTAAAGTGCATTTAACCTTATTTAAAGTGCATTTAACCTTATTTAAAAATGCATGTAAACCTTATTTAAAGTGCATTTAACCTTATTTTAAGGCAGTAACCTTATTTAAAGTGCATGTTTTAAACCCTTTTTTAAAGGCATGTACTTATTTAAATGCATTAACCTTATTTAAAGTGCATTTAACCTTTTAAATGCTTAACCTTTTAAAATGCATTTAACCTTATTTAAAGGATGTAAACCCATTTAAAGTGCATTTAAACCCTTTTTAAAAATGCATGTAACCTTATTAAATGCATGTACTTTTTTAAAGTGGTAACCTATTTAAAGTGCATTTAACCTTATTTAAAGTGCATGTAACCTTATTTAAAGTGCATGTAACCTTATTTAAAGTGCATGTAACCTTATTTAAAGTGCATTTAACCTTATTTAAAGTGCATGTAACCTTATTTAAAGTGCATGTAACCTTATTTAAAGTGCATTCAACATTAAGCATTGAACCTATAAAGCATAACTATTAAAGATGAATATAGGCATAACCTAAAGGCATGTAACTTATTAAAGTGCATGAACCTATTTAAGGTGCTTAATTAACCTATTTAAGGTTAACCTATTTAAAGGCATGTACATTTAAAGTGATTAAATTGCATAACACTTAAAGCGTAACCAATAAAGTATGAACTTAATTAGAAGATAAATGGTAACTTGAAAGTACCTTATAAGGCATGTAAACTAGAAAGGATGTATTATTAAGGATGTCCTGTGTGTTAAGTGTTGACGTATGTTAAGGGTTAGTGGAGACGTTTATAAGGAGTTAGAGGAGTTTAAAGGTTAGTGTGGAGAGGTTAAGGTAGTATGAAGAGGTAAGGTAGACGGAGGTTGGTTAGGAGATAAGGGTAGTGGAAGTAAGAGTGGTTAAGGTAGGGAGAGGTTAGGGTAGTGGGAGAGGTTTAGGGTAGTGGGAGAGGTAGGAGTAAGGGTTAGTGGGTAGAGGTTAAGGGTAGTGGGAGAGGTTAGGGTGTGGGAGAGGTTAAGGGTAGTGGGAGAGGTGGTAGTGGGAGAGAGGTTTAGGGTAGTGGGAGAGGTAGTGGGAGAGGTTTAGGGTAGTGGGAGAGGTTAAGGGTAGTGGGAGAGGTTAAGGGTAGTGGGAGAGGTTTAGGGTAGTGGGAGAGGTTAGGGTAGTGGGAGAGGTTAGGGTAGTGGGAGAGGTTGTAGTGGGAGGGTTAGGGTAGTGGAGAGGTTTAGGGTAGTGGGAGAGGTTTAGGGTAGGGGAGAGGTTAAGGGTAGTGGGAGAGGTTTGATAGGGGTAGTGGGAGAGGTAGAGGTAGTGGAGAGGTTTAGGGTAGTGGGAGAGGTTAGGGTAGTGGGAGAGGTGTAGTGGGAGAGGTTAGGGTAGTGGGAGAGGTTTAGGTGTGGGGAGAGGTAGGGTAGTGGGAGAGTAGGGTAGTGGGAGAGGTAGTGGGAGAGGTAGTGGGAGAGGTTTAGGGTAGTGGGAGAGGTAGTGGGAGAGGTAGGGTTAGTGGGAGAGGTTTAAGGGTAGGTGGGGAGGTTAGGGTAGTGGGAGAGGTGGTAGTGGGAGAGGTAGGGTAGAGGTTTAAGGGTTAGTGGGAGAGGTTAGGTAGTGGAGGGTAGTGAGGGAGGGGAGAGGTTTAGGGTAGTGGGAGAGGTAGGGTAGTGGGAGAGGGTAGGGTTAGGGTAGTGGGAGAGGTTAGGGTAGTGGGAGAGGTTTAGGGTAGTGGGAGAGGTTTAGGGTAGTGGGAGAGGTTTAGGGTAGTGGGAGAGGTTAAGGGTAGTGGGAGAGGTTTAGGGTAGTGGGAGAGGTTAAGGGTAGTGGGAGAGAGAGAGGTTTAAGGCCAATGTGATACACACACTAACTAACCTGTCGTGCTGGAGGTGCAGTTGAGGTAAGTCAGGGAAGGTGCCGGAGGACGTAGCCGAGAAAACAACGTGTTCCCCGGAGGCCAGAACTGGGATACGGCAGACGGCACACCAACCCAGCGTGGTGAAACACCCGTACATGGGGAGAGTGAGGAGGAGGCACTTCCAATAAGACTCACGACACAGAGAGGCAGCCAGGGACTGCTGCAGGGGACGTTGCTATTAGGATAGAGGGAGACAGACAGACAGACAGACAGACAGACAGACAGACAGACAGGGAGACAGACAGGGAGACAGACAGACAGACACACACACACACACACAGAGACAGACAGACAGACAGACAGACAGAGTTCATGTTGAGGAGAGTTATGAGCAGGCACTGTTGGAAGGAGAGAGAGGAAGGAAGGAGGATGAAGAAGCTACACAATGATAATGTTGTAATAATTGTATATACACACTACCATAGGGAATCATGTAGTAGCCCAAAAAAAAAAGTGTTAAATGAAAATATATTTTATAATTCAGATTCTTCAAATAGCCTCTCTCCCTCTCTCCTCCTAGATGTGCCAGCAGCCCACAACATATAGTCACCGTGTGCAACATGTGCACGTTGTGTAGACAAAGTACAGTCACCACTAACTCACATCTAGGAGGAGGGGAAGGGTATCTGGTGTGTTTTGCTGCAGGGGTGGAACAAAGTCCTGCACACCCATATCAAATTCCCACAGAAATGACAACATAGTCAGCCATGAGGGATACTTCGGCCCAAGTCCTCAGATCTGACATTTGCAGTGTGTGTGTGGCATCATCCAGGTGTTGGGAATGTTCAGGTTGTCATGGGACGGTGATGCCGTCGCTAAGGGCCAGGTGGAAATACAGGTAATCTCTATCTGGCCGAATTTAGTGCAACATTTAGATTTTAACCACTTACTTGACCCTAACCAACTTGTGTCCTAATCTTAACCACAATCTTAACCCTAGATTAAGGTTCAATTACTCATGTACCGTCCCAACAGTTGTGATCATAAAGACATGTCCTCTCTGTCTCTCTCCCAACAGTTCTGATCATAAAGACATGTCCTCTCTGTCTCTCTCCCAACAGTTCTGATCATAAAGACATGTCATCTCTGTCTCTCTCCCAACAGTTCTGATCATAAAGACATGTCCTCTCTGTCTCTCTCCCAACAGTTCTGATCATAAAGACATGTCCTCTCTGTCTCTCTCCCAACAGTTCTGATCATAAAGACATTGCCTCTCTGTCTCTCTCCCAACAGTTCTGATCATAAAGACATGTCCTCTCTGTCTCTCTCCCAACAGTTCTGATCATAAAGACATGTCCCCTCTGTCTCTCTCCCAACAGTTCTGATCATAAAGACATGTCCTCTCTGTCTCTCTCCCAACAGTTCTGATCATAAAGACATGTCCTCTCTGTCTCTCTCCCAACAGTTCTGATCATAAAGACATGTCATCTCTGTCTCTCTCCCAACAGTTCTGATCATAAAGACATGTCCTCTCTGTCTCTCTCCCAACAGTTCTGATCATAAAGACATGTCCTCTCTGTCTCTCTCCCAACAGTTCTGATCATAAAGACATGTCCTCTCTGTCTCTCTCCCAACAGTTGTGATCATAAAGACATGTCCTCTCTGTCTCTCTCCCAACAGTTCTGATCATAAAGACATGTCCTCTCTGTCTCTCTCCCAACAGTTCTGATCATAAAGACATTGCCTCTCTGTCTCTCTCCCAACAGTTCTGATCATAAAGACATGTCCTCTCTGTCTCTCTCCCAACAGTTCTGATCATAAAGACATGTCCCCTCTGTCTCTCTCCCAACAGTTGTGATCATAAAGACATGTCCTCTCTGTCTCTCTCCCAACAGTTCTGATCATAAAGACATGTCCTCTTGTAACTACCGCAAAACAGACACCTTCAATGACCTAAAAGCACATGGCTGCAGTGTGTGTAACGGAGAGAGAGAGTGTGTGTTTGTGTGTGTGTGTATGTGTAACAGAGTGAGTGTGTATGTGTGTGTAACAGTATGTGTGTGCTGAATACAGCACTGTATATGATTCTTCAATACCTATCCATCATGGGCTGAGTGCACTCACACACACTCTCTCTCTCTCTCTCTCTCGCTAAGTGCTAGCAGAGACGTCATAGCAGGGACAGACGTCATGTTTTCTAGGAGCAGACCTTTATTTGTTTTATCCTGATTGGAGTGCAGATGGGCAGGGTTTGCATTTTTGCAACTGTTCTATTGATTCTCCCTTGCTTCAGGCAAACTCAATCATACACAGATCAAGTATTTTAAATTATTTCAAATAGTATTTAAACCCAGGTCTGGAATAGTGAATTATTTAAACCCAGAACTACACTTCCAGTCCTTCCAATCATATCGTCATTTGACTCGAACATCCCACAGTATAAATAATAACTACATAACACTAGGGCAAATGCTCCAACCATGTAACGTCCAGGAACGTCCACAGAAAGATGTGTTTGTTGTGTAATAAGACTACTAAGAGAGAGAAGAGAGGAGAGATGGGAGAGAGGAGAGAAGAGGAGAGAGGCATCAAAGCCAAAGGAACTGAATAATATTAAGAAATGCTATAGATGGAAGGAAAGTAGTATCGAAACCTACCAAAAAACAATTACGCAACAACAAATGCAATCTCTTTTGGACAACTTCCTGGACAAAACGTTCCACTGTAATAGTGAAGGTGTAAACTTGGCATTAGAAAACCTAAACAATATATTTGACCTCTCAGCTTCCCTATCAAATCTAAAAATCTCTAACAGAAAACTGAAGAAAAGTAACAACAATGACAAATGGTTTGATGAATAATGCAAAAACCTAAGAAAGAAATTGAGAAACCTATCCAACCAAATACATAGAAGACCCAGAAAACCTGAGCCTACGCCTTCAATATGGTGAATCACTAAAACAATACAGAAATACACTACGGAAAAAGAAGGAACAGCATGTCAGAAATCAGCTCAATATAAATGAAGAATCCATAGACTAACCACTTCTGGGAAAATTGGAAAACACTAAACAAACAACAACACAAAGAGCTATCTATCCAAAACGGAGATGTATGGGTAAACCACTTCTCCAATCTTTTTGGCCCTATAACAAAGAACAAACAGCAAAAAAAATTACACGATCAAATGCAAATCTTAGAATCAACTATTAAAGACTACCAGAACCCACTGGATTCTCCAATTACATTGAATGAACTACAGGACAAAATACAAACCCTCCAACCCAAAAAGGCCTGTGGTGTTGATGGTATCCTCAATGAAATGATAAAATATACAGACTACAAATTCCAATTGGCTTTACTTAAACTCTTTAACATCATCCTTAGCTCTGGCATCTTCCCCAATATTTGGAACCAAGGACTGATCACCCCAATCCACAAAAGTGGAGACAAAGTTGACCCCAATAACTACCGTGGGATATGCGTCAACCGCAACCTTGGGAGAATCCTCTGCATTATCATTAACAGCAGACTAGTTCATTTCCTCAGTGAAAACAATGTACTGAGCAAATGTCAAATTGGCTTTCTACCAAATTACCGTACGACAGACAACGTATTTACCCTGCACACCCTAACTGACAAACAAACAAACCAAAATAAAGGCAAAGTCTTCTCATACTTTGTTGATTTCAGAAAAGCTTTTGACTCAATTTGGCATGAGGGTCTGCTATACAAATTGATGGAAAGTGGTGAAAAATATACGACATTATAAAATCCATGTACACAAACAACAAGTGTGCGGTTAAAATTGGCAAAAAAACACATCGATTTCTTTCCACAGTGCCGTGGGGTGAGACAGGGATGCAGTTTAAGCCCCACCCTCTTCAACATATATGTCAACAAATTGGCGAGGGCACTAGAACAGTCTGCAGCACCCGGCCTCACCCTACTAGAATCTGAAGACAAATGTTTGCTGATTATCTGGTGCTTCTGTCACCAACCAAGGAGGGCCTACAGCAGCACCTAGATCTTCTGCACAGATTCTGTCAGACCTGGGCCCTGACAGTAAATCTCAGTAAGACAAAAATAATGGTGTTCCATAAAAGGTCCAGTTGCCAGGACCACAAATACAAATTCCATCTAGACACCGTTGCCCTAGAGCACACAAAAAACTATACATACCTCGGCCTAAACATCAGCGCCACAGGTAACTTCCTCAAAGCTGTGAACGATCTGAGAGACAAGGCAAGAAGGGCCTTCTATGCCATCAAAAGGAACATAAAATTCGAACATACCAATTAGGATCTGGCTAAAAAATACTTGAATCAGTTATAGAACCCATTGGCCTTTATGGTTGTGAGGTCTGGGGACCGCTCACCAAACAAGAATTCACAAAATGGGACAAACACCAAATTGAGACTGCATGCAGAATTCTGCAAAAATATCCTCAGTGTACAACGGAAAACACAAAATAATGCATGCAGAGCAGAACTAATTATCGAAATCCAGAAAAGAGCCATTAAATTCTATAACCACTTAAAAGGAAGCGATTCCCAAACTTTCCATAACAAAGCCATCACCTACAGGGAGATTAACTTTGGAGAAGAATCCCCTAAGTGAGCTGGTCCTGGGGCTCTGTTCACAAACACAAACAGACCCCACAGAGCCCCAGGACAGCAACACAATTAGACCCAACCAAATCATGAGAAAACAAAAAGATAATTACTTGACACATTGGAAATAATTAACAAAAAAAACTGAGCAAACTAGAATGTTATTTGGCCCTAAAAAGAGAGTACACAGTGGCAGAATACCTGACCACTGTGACTGACCCAAAATTAAGGAAAGCTTTGACTATGTACAGACTCAGTGAGCATAGCCTTGCTATTGAGAAAGGCCGCCGTAGGCAGACCTGGCTCTCAAGAGAAGACAGGCTATGTGCACACTGCCCACAAAATGAGGTGGAAACTGAGCTGCACTTCCTAACCTCCTGCCAAATGTACGACCATATTAGAGACACATATTTCCCTCAGATTACACAGATACACAAACAATTCGAAAACAAACCCATTTTTGATAAACTCCCTTATCTACTGGGTGAAATACCACAGTGTGCCATCACAGCAGTAAGATTTGTGACCTGTTGCCACAAGAAAAGGGCAACCAGTGAAGAACAAACACCATTGTAAATACAACCCATATTTATGTTTATTTATTTTCCCATTTGTACTTTAACTATTTGCACATTGTTACAACACTGTATATATACATAATATGACATTTGAAATGTCTTTATTCTTTTGGAACTTCTGAGTGTAATGTTTACTGTTAATATTTATTGTTTATTTCACTTTTGCTTACTATCTACTTCACTTGCTTTGGCAATGTTAACATACGTTTCCCATGCCAATAAAGCCCTTAAATTGAAATTGAATTGAAAGGGGAGAGCTGAGAGGGGAAGAGAGTAGAGGAGAGGGTGAGAGAGAGGGAGTGGGAGAGAGTCAGGGGAGGGGAGGGGAGAAGATAGAGGAGAGAGAGAGAGGAGGAGAGAAAGAGGAGAGGAGAAAGAGAGAGAGAGAGAGAGAGAGATGCGCGGGGGGAGAGAGAGGAGAGAGGGAGAGAGTTAGAGATAGAGAGAGAGAGGGAGAGAGAGAGAATGAGAAGAGAGAGGAGAGGATGGAGGGGGAGAGGGAGGAGAGAGAGAGAGAGAGAGCGAGAGGAGAGAGAGACAG